GTGCACCTTGGGACATGTTACTCAGGGCGTATATATATGCCATGCGCAGTTTAAGGGTTAAATACACCTCAGCAGTTAACACTTTCGCGCTCTCCGCAAAGGTCACTCAGCCAACCGAATGTGCGCGCTGCGTTTTTATCGCTTAAGCGTAAAAACAAAAATGTGTATACTCTTTTTACTCTTCTGACCTTAGTTCTCATGCTACGTATTTCATTTTGGTACCAACGTGTTCGCAATAAAATTCTCTAGAAGAACATTAGTAAAATAAGTCACGAAACATATAGGGATACCAGCACCAAATAAATAACTACGTAGATGACTCGCCGTGAGCGCCCATTAGCAACAAAATGTTTTTACTCTTGGGATTGTTATCACCTCCACACTTGTTCTACAGCGTTAATTTTGGTATCAATGGACTCGCAATGAAATTCCCAACACGGTGATATGAATATAAGCGTAGAATAATGATGCAGCCCGCCCGCAAGAGTGTGGGAAGTGGTGAAATTGTTACCCGATATCGGTGACGGGACGACGCACGGCGCTTTGAAAGTTTATACTTATTTCACTCTCATGACATTAATTTTCTATGTACGTCATTCATTTTTATGTCAATGTGTTCGCAATAGAATGTTCTATGTGCCCATAGGTAAAAAATATCAACAAAGCGTAAGTTAGAATAGCGACAAATATAAAACAACGCTGGAACATATCAGTGAGCGTCAAACGCACACGAAATATTTTTACTTTTGTTATGTTTGTCAAGATTATACTTGTTGCACACAGTTATTTTTGGTTGTATATTGATCGGAATAAAATTCCCTAAACAGACATATGCATCTAATACATGATATGGGGGAAGAATTACCAGTATAAACGGCTAAAGTCACCCACCTGCAACCCGTTTGGGACAAAATACCATTTGATCGAAGTTATCCACACCTTTCATGAACTTATTGTACCATGCAGCCTAGTGGTGAGAAAGAGAGCCTCATGGCGCGCAGTTTGAAACAAACCCAAAGTAAATCGGATAAAAATTGAATTTTATACAAATATTTTAAAAGTAGACATAACTTTATGTCCACTATGCGTTTACGTTAGACGAAACCGAACGCGCCGGCGCGTCCAGATAGTGCAAAAGTGTTAACTGCACAAGGAATTAAACCCTAGGAAGTCAGAAGCCAGGCTACTACTAGAGTTCAGAACCAAATGAAATAGACTAACTTGAACCGCCCGGTCGAGACAAAACCTTATTGGGGAACAGTCGGATGAAGCCAGATTGTGGAGCCTTCGGGAAGGCGAATCAGCCTTTCCAAATAAAGATCGAAAGTTCATTCCATGCACCAGCCAAACCCCATGTTTACGAATGAAAAATGGTTTACACACAGCTCACAACTGATGACGTCCGAACACTTCTGGAATAAGTGCTTCACTGACTAATCTTGTTTGAATCACAACACTGTAAATGATTCACCCACGTACTACAAATACAAATAATCACCAACAGAATCTAAACACCTAACATAACCACTGCCTAAATATGCACAAATATGCTAATATATAATAATAATAATATTAATTTATATTTGATAAAACTCCTGTTTTGAATGAACAGCATGATAAAATTGATGAATGCGTCTTTGGGGTTGACTGCTGGATGGAATGGATTTAGTCTGAGAATGGGTTGGCGAATGTTGTGTAGCATGGAGAAAACTCCAGCCAGCCTGCGAACAGTGATGTATACCAGATGGAGAGGCCACTGGCTCTGATCAGCTTATTGATCACTGGAGACAAACTCCCAGCCAAGAGCCAAAATTGTCAACCATGCACTCTGTACAACTGGACAGCATCGAGAGGCGCTATCCACAAGCAGGTTCAATATACCTCATAAGTGAACTGCACAGGGAACTATACCCTAAGAATTCAGGGCTGAAAAAAACAGCGTTGAGTGTAATGAAATGCCATTTTCTGAGTGAGCCCCATAAGCTCCCCAGAGCTTACCGGGCTCTGTATGTATGTATTAGACGGTGCCCATCAGTCAATTCAATGGAGTTCTAGCTTTCTGGGGACCACAAGCCAGAACATGGCCTCCTCAGAGAGGTACGAGGAGCAATAGTCTATAGAAGCCCCCAAGTGGTTGAAAGCATTCTGTATCTGTCATCTACTGGGTTAGGCACCCAGAAAGGTAGGTGTCCCAAAACAAACTCCAGCTGGTTAAAAATTGCGACCGAAAGTCAAACTAGCAAGCAGAACTCCCCAAACCAAAAACAAACAAGCATGATGTCATCATCACCGCCGTGCCGCTGTCTGCGTTCTCCACCCTCCCTGGTTGGGGGATGAGGGAGCTCCAGACCCCCTGCGCTGGCTATCCAACCCCAATTCAGATGCTGAATATTAAAAACGCGAAAAACCACTGACCGGAGGGAGGGAGGGTTGCCGGGGAGTCTCCGGGACTCACCCAGAAAATGGCATTTCATTACATTCAACACTGGTTTTTTGTGGAGAGCCCCTCCGGCTCCCCGTAGTTACCTAACCCAAGACAAGAAAAAGAGGGACTTACCCGGGAGGCGGTCGCCACCTGCTCCTCAACGCGAAGTCGAGACAACTGGCTGCAACCAGTGACCCAAGGCTACACATGCCCGAGAAGAACCTGGAACATTAACAAGGTACCATGCGGCCAGGACCCTGTTCGACCGTCAAAAACCCCGCGCCCGAATGTCAGCCCAAGACATGTTACCAAAAACAGCATCCAAAGCGGCAAACTTGCGGTCGTGGGCACGGGAATAAACCGCAGGCTGGCTGGACTCAATAATCTTGCAGATGACCTGGGAGACCCATGCCCTGGAACAAGGAAGAACGTTAACTGGGTCCACCCAAAGTGCGTCCCCAGCCACCGAGGCCATGGTGTGCAAGTAATGGAGAAGAGCCAAAACTGTACACAAGACATCATGCACCCTTGGCTGAACCAAGCATCAACAACCCAAGGACTCCTCCGGAAAGCAGCAGTTTCTTTCTTCGCCAGAAAAGAAGGAGATGGCTGCAAACGAACAAACCTACCACCAGGACCGAAGGAGCAGAAACCCTTGCCCCAGAGGAGAGCATGAAGCTCCCTGACCCAAACCCCAGAGGCCAATGCCAACGAGAATGTCTTAGAAAAACAATCAGGAACTGATGGTATCACCACAAACCAAGGAGGAGAGAGAAAAGAGGGCACCCAGTCCAACAAGCAGGATGGCTCGGGAGACACATGAACAGGCCGTAGGTGAAACAACGTACAAGAAAGCTTGCAGAACGAAGCAGAAGTGACATCTACCCTGGATGCAAGTTGAAGAGGCTCCACCAGTTCCGCACGAAACGAGGCGACAATATTCGGCATAAGATTATGGTCCTGAAACAACCATGAGAGAAAGGACAAAACAACCCGATCAGAAATCGAAGACAACCTACAAAAAGACAAAAAGTGATGAAAGGACCACCAGGAAACTTCATACTGCTGCGGAGGTGAAACACACAGGTGGGACACCATCAACAAAGCCACCTGATCACCAAACAAGTGGTGAGAAACCCGTGTCAGAAAGACCAGATGCGAAGATCAGAGAAGATCGAACCAGCCATGAACTGGACCGGACCGATCTGCTGAAAGAGGCGGAGCCGCGAAAAGATCCCCGGGTACAGACATTGACCAAACAGCGCCTAAAACTAAGGCTGGGCTGGCCATCAAGGGGCCAATAGATCTACTCTCCCCTGTTAAGTCTCCAACCGAGCCAAAACCTGAAGCAAAAGCTGGACTGGGGGAAAGAGCTACAGGTAACCCCACCTTGATCAATCCTGCCGAAAGGCATCGACCCTGACAGCCTTGCAGTCAGGGTAAGGGCGCCACATATACCGGGAGATGCCTTGACCACGCTGACACGAAGAGGTCCACCGCCGGGCACGTGTACATCTGGCAGTGCCATTTGAAGAAGTCAGCATCAACCATCCATTCCGTGGACAGTGGAATGAACTGGGACAGGCTGTCCACCAGGACGGACACCTCCCAGATATGAACCACCTGAAGAGCCAAACTCAGAGAATCCAGCCAACAAATCACCCGAAGTGCCCAGCTCTAAAGAGCCAAGGACCGCATCAAACCCATTGGAACTTCTGGACTTCTGATTCAGACAATGAACCACCAGGGAACAGTGCGAATGGAGCCGGATCGTCGATCCGTGAGTGACACGAACCCCCTGAAGCAAATGCCACACCGGCGCGAACTCCCGTACCATGCTGTGAGCCCAAAGAGGATGCTGGCGATGCAGCAACACAAGGCCCCCCGGAGGCCGAACCCAGTGATCGCAAGAGAGAGGCAGAAGTAGGGAATAACAATGAAACCAGAACAGATACTGAAGCCAAAACCGACCCAGAAGGTAAACCAGCACGGCGAAGTTCAGACTCCCGCACAACTGCTCGAGCAACTGCCGAATGTCCTGGGGACCCCCCTTACCTCACCCAGAAACAGCTGAAGGTGGGACCGCAGTCGCAGCAATGCCTCCAGAGGGAGAGACATGGAAGCAGTCCGAGAGTCCCACACAAGACCCAGCCAGGGCCAAACCTGGGATGGAACCAGATGGGACTTCTGCCAGTTTACCAGGAACCCAAACCCAGTGAGCTAGGAAAGAACCATACTCCAGTGAGCAGACAAACAGACTGGCTGGAAGCCCATGAAAGCCAGTCGTCGAGGTAGGCCAGGACCCAAAAGCCCTAGCAGACACAGACGGGTCACCACAACCCAGGAAAGACGCATGAATACGTCTTGGTTTCTGGTAGGTTTTCCCTAGTACGATTAATCTAGGCTTTTGGTAGGTGACAGCTGGATTTTGGAGGCCTAGTGTGTTGGGCTAAGGATTGGTGGTCCTAGAGTTAAGCATAAGGAGCTACTGAGGGCTACCTCCCATAAATATAAGGTGAAAGTACAAATAGTAAACTTTGAAGTAGTTTGTAATTAATAATGAGAGTCATCTCACCTGCATCATGAGCTTGAGGTAGAAGGTAGGAAGGAGGTGCTGCCTCTACTCCCCAAACTATTCTCACAGCAAAGCCAGTCACTTGACCACTTCCCGAGTGGTGCACACTTCCTCCCACTCTCTCTCTAAGTTGTGTGGAGCCATCTCTGCGAGATACAACGGTACATTTGATGTACTACTATACTGTATTCTGGAAACCTCCACACTATAGTGTGTCATACACAAAGTAAAAGGTATAATAATACAAATTAAATAATTAAATATTTGTGTATGTGTGTATGTTTTAAATGTGCCCAGATAAATGTTCATTGGTGTGAGCACATTGTGTTAAAGTGGGGCCATTTCTTGACTAGCAAATGTACAGATTTTCAAAGTTTTCACGTTGGTAATGTATGTTCTACCAGGGTCCCACTGTACATACTATTATTCCACTTGTACTTGTCTCCGGATCTCCTTGTACACTACAATGTATAGGGTAATTGTAAAACCACAATCCAACAAATTCTCTGTTTGCAAATGATTTTTTTTTTATTCAACATCTAAAACCATCTTTTACTATATTACTCACCATCTTTTCTGTGGGCTGAAGCATCCCCATCACATGAAGTGAGAAATGTGGTAGTGATGATGTACATTTGTATGTACCTATAACAGTGCATCCTCACTAATAAACCCAACCCAGCCTCCTGTTTTGATAGTGCTTTTTGTAACTACAGTACTCGCCTAATTGTACTCATCTAATTGTGCTTGTGGAGGTTGAGCTTTGTCTCTCTGGTTCCGCCTCTCAACTGTCAATCAACTGGTGTACAGATTCCTGAGCCTATTGGGCTCTATCATATCTACACTTGAAACTGTGTATGGAGTCAGCCTCCACCACATCACTGCCTAGTGCATTCTATTTATTAACTACTCTGACACTGAAAAAATTCTTTCTAACGTCTCTGTGGCTCATCTGGGTACTAAGTTTCCACCTGTGTCCCCTTGTTCGTGTCCCACCCGTGCTGAAGAGTTTGTCTTTGTCCACCCTGTCAATTCGCCTGAGAATTTTGTAGGTGGTTATCATGTCTCCCCTTACTCTTCTGTTTTTTGTCAGATTTTTGGCAATTTGTGCATAAAAGTTGTTATTATATATCTTGTCATGGGTCCCAGGAAAGCCAGTTGTAAGGTTCAAATCGCATGTGAGGATGACAATAGAGGAAAAACAAGAGATCATTCAGAAGCATGAAAATGGTACTCGTGTTGTTGAACTAGCTAGGCATTACAACAAAACCACGTCAACGATATGCACTGTACTTGCCAAAAAAAAGGACATTATGAGTGCTAAAGTGGCAAAAGGCGCATCAACAAATCACGAAACAAAGACCACAAATACTTGAAGATGTGGAAAAGTTGTTATTAATTTGGATACACAACAAGGAGTTAAGCTCGCAAGCGGGACACCTTCAACGAAGCCACCCGATCACCATGTAAGTGGTGATAAACCCGCGTCAAAAAGACCAGATGCGAAGAGTGGAGGAGTAGACTGAACCGGCCAAGTACCAGACCAGTCCAATCCGCTGAAAGAGGCAGAGCCGCGGAAAACGCCCCGGGAGACACCGAGCAAGCAGCGCCTAAAACCAAGGGGCCACCAGGATGACTCTCCCCTGGTAAGTCTCCAACTGAGCAAGGACCTGAAGCAACAGTTGACTGGGAGGGAAGAGATACAGGTAACCCCACCTCGACCAGTCCTGCCAAAAGGCATCGGGACTGCAACGGCTCTGCAGTCGGAGAAGGGTGCCACATATCGGGAGACACCAAGCCCACGACGACATGAAGAGGTCCACCTCTGGGAGCCCATACATCCAGCAGAACCAACCAAAGGAGTCTGCTTCAACTGTCCATTCCATGTACAGGGAAATGAACCAGGACAGGCTGTCTGACAGGACATTGGAAACTCCCCGGATATGAACTGCACGGAGAGCCAAACCTCGAGAATCCAACAGACGAGTTACTCGAAGCAACTAGCCCCAAACAGCAAATGACTGAAGAAAACCCCCTCGATTCAGACAATGAACCACCTGAGAGCAGTCTGAATGGAGCCAGATCATCGAACCCCAAGTGACCCGAACCCTCCGAAGTGACAGCCAAACAGCTGCGAACTCCCGCACTGTGCTGTGAGCTCAATGGAAGGATGGACCCCACTGCCCCTGGCCAGCCTTGTGAGCACTGGTCACAAAACCCAAGCCGAAAGACGACGCATCCGTGAACACATCGAGCGAGGGCTCGGGGAGGCGCCAAGGCACCGAACCCCGAAAACCCCGAAGAGGAAGCCAGTGGTGCAGCAACTGATGCAAGGCCCATGTTGCCAAACCCAGCAATCGCGAGAGAGGTGGAAGGTGGGTCCACAAAGGAACCAGAAGAGACACCAAAGCCAAATCCAACACGGCGAAGTTCAGAGTACCAGACCAGTCCAACACAACTGCTCGAGTAACCAGTAGAGTGACCCCGGACCCCCCCAGAGACAGCTGAAGGCGGGACTGCAGCTGCAGCAACACCTCTGGAGGGAGAGACCAGGAAGTGGGCCAAGAGTCCCACACAAGGCTCAGCCAGATGAAAACCTAGGACGGAAATAGATGGGACTTCCTCCAGTTCACCAGAACCCGAACCCAGCAAGCTGGGAAAGAATTACACCCCTAGCGAGCAGACAAGCAGACCGGCTGGGAGCCCACACCAACCAGTCGTCGAGGCAGGTCAGAACCCCGAACCCCCCTAGCAGATGCAGACGGGTCACCCGACCCGGGTAAGATGTGTGAACACACAAGGTGCCAGATTCAAGTCAAACGGAATGCAACAAAAGCAGTAAGCTTGCCGCTCCACCATGAAACCTAACGAGTCCCTGAACCCCGAATGAATGGGAACGTGCCAATACGCGTCCCGAAAGTCGAGATATACCATCGAAGCACACGGCTCCAATAGGAGCCAAACCTGAGACAGAGTGGTCATCCAAAAGTTGGGGCAAGGAATCCAGGGGTTCAGACAGGACAAGTCCAGAATGAACTGCAGATCCACACAGTTCTGTTTCGGCACTGGAAACAGGTGGGAAACCCACCTGAGGGACGGGGTTGTTTCGACCATGCCTAAGAGTAGGTGCTACTCTGAGATGACCCAACGGAGCGCAGGGAAAGAAGCTCGGCCGGAGGAGACAACTCAAAGGTCGTAGGAGGTAAGCACTGAAAGCCTCCCAAACCTCTGCAGTGGAAATCCAAGAGCAAGAAAACCTCCAGAAGGACAAATCCAAGGAACCCCAAAGGCACCCAGAAACAAACCTGGGGAAGGGGAGCCCCACCCAATGCAAACTCAAAAGGGAAGGAAGGAGGGGCCTAAAACCCCTCCCCTGCCTAAAAAGCCCCTGTGCAGAGGGCCCAAGGGCCCAAGTGGTAACAAAGGGAACTCAAGAGCTCCCTATGGACTCTGCTCCCCCCCCCCTCCTGAGCCCTGGGAAGTTATCGACAAAGGGCCAAGGGAAGAACCCTCATCCACGCCCACCACCCCAGAAGGTAAGGCAAAGTCCAGGAGATAGGCTTCAAAGAAGGGAGTCTGACGAGACAACTCTGAAGAAATTGCAGGAGAGAGAGGCTCAACCACCACCGTGCCTGCATCGGAAGGGGCAGCCCCCAAGCCATCAGAGCCTCACCCTGAAATAAACTCTGCCCCCAACTCCGAAACCTCCAAAGAATTGGGAACTGGAAGTAGGGGGGGGGGGGGGGGAGGAGCAGGATGAACCACGCCCACCTGGAAATGAAAATGAGGCGCAATGCAGACTGAACCAAGGCCGAAACGAGCAACGCCTCCAAATCCGAGTCCCTAAAACCTAAGAGGGACAACTCCGGGGCATCCACCCGGACATCCAACTTGGCCCATTGCAATAAAGAAAACCAATAAAACCAATCATGCAACGAGGCCGCTGCCTGATTCCTGAGATCATCAGAAAAAGAATGAGTAAATTGGAGCACAATTACGGAACAAGTCCTGCAAGACTCCGGGTCGTAGGTGTCCCCAACCCAACAGGCAGCATGATGACGGAGGCAGTATGGAAGATCGTCTTCCAGAGGCAGGGGGTGACAAACAATCTTCCAATTCACACAAGGTAAGAGTGAGCTCGGAAGAAGTATCCATGGTACAACCGAGGGGTTTTCCAAGGCCTGCAGGGTAAATAAGTCCCACAGGAAGCCCAGGCACTGGAGCCATCTAAGCTGGTAAACGCTATCGATGCAGGCAATTCGACCGCAAGTAGCAGCCGTGAAACCTCAGGGGGCAACAGAGGACTACCACTACAACTTAGGCTAAGCCTAATAAGGAGCTAAGCAGACTGCCACAACAGGCAGAAATGCCAGAATAAAAACAAGAAAAAAAAAAACGAAACCTCACAACTAACAAACAAGCAGCTGGAGAGAAACATCGGCCACCACATGATAGTAAATGCAGGTTGTGCTAGCTGCAGTGCACCCCACCAGCCAACAAAATCCCCCTACCCGGCGCAAGGCGGAAAGCCTAAGACCCCCGGCCTACCCCAAGGGTGAGGACAACTGAAAGCGAGGAAGCCCTCTAACGGCGAGTGATTCCCGAACACCCCAGGGAAGATAACCCTGACCACGCAAGAGCAGTACTCACGGAGCACCTAGGGAAGATGTCCCTAGACGCATGCAGTTCTGGTACCCTGAACTCCAAGCCAGCACACACTGCAAGTGTAGGAACAGCCGTCATGGCAAAAATCAAGAAAGGAAATTGAGGCCTGAGACCAGGTCCGACTACCAAGCACATTAGTCGAGGCTAATTGGATTAAGTGTTGCTTGTTTGTTTTCTTTCTGGGGGAGTTCTTTTGCTATTTTGAGGATGTAGTTCTCAATTTTCAACCAGACAGTGGTCTGTTTTGATTCACCTACCTTTCTGGGGTGCCTTTCTTGGTTGATGGCAAGTATGACATACTTTAAATGTAAAGTGCTCACAGGCCATGGCCTCCCTGCACCTCTCTGAAGGGGTAAGGTTCTAGCTCTGGTCCCCGGTAGGCAACAAGAACTGTGACTGATAACCCCAAATAGGATAGCACTATATCAGTGAGATAGCTTCAGGGAGCTGACAAGGCTCTGCACAGAAATACATAATAAGTCGATTTTGTCATATATTTTTTAATACAGTGGAACTTCAAATGACGAGCGACTCCAGTTACGAGCATTTCGAGTAACGAGCGAGCCACTCACAGAAAATTTGTCTCGATTGACGAGCTTTCGCTCGATTAACGAGCAAACTACATGGTGCTTCCTAACGTTCCCGCTGGTTCTCGGATGCCTCTGACGACAGTGTTGTTGTTTTGCAAGGCGAGTGCTTCACATCACGAGCTTGGTGCCGGAACAGATTAAATTCGGTAATCGAGGCACCACTGTACAGTGCTTCCTCAGTCTAACGAACCCCGCTCTATCGAATTCCCAGAAGAGCCGAACAAATTGAATTCTGTACCAAATGTTCAGTGGAACATACATATGTTTGATTAAGCGAGGAATGTTCGTCTAAGCGGTCACCGAGGCCAAGCATCGGAACTGGCTGTCATCAACTATGATTTGCCAGAGTGTAAACAGTTATATAGTGTTTTATTATCCTTACCCATTGTGTCTAGGGAGAAATGGTGATAAAAATGGTGATAAAATGGTGTCAGGGGGGCATTGGTGAGAGAGTTGTTGCCAGGAGGCAAGTGGTGTCAGTAGTTAGGGTTCATGGTCCCCAGTAGGCCTAAGAACTCCACTCACATGACTGATGCCAAATTCTAATATATTCCCATCAGCCTGGATAACTACGGGGAGCCGAAGAGACTCCCCAAAAAAATATTTTGCAAACTATTATAAAATCACAAGGTTAGTATCTTGAAACAATGCATATGTTTGAACTGTGAAAACCAATTACTAATAGAACAGAATCTAAAAAAATGGACAAATTCACATAAGCACTGTTGCATTGACTCACCTATACATGAGAGTGAAGCAGACCTCACAGGAGGCATTGATGTACTCCAATACAGCACACAACTCTGAGTCACAACCTAGTGTATGTCTTGGGCCACACACCTGAAAAGAGGCTCTATCTTGTTAGATGATCACATAGCACTTTATTAATCCCAACATTCCAATTTATACAAAAAGAATCAAGAAAAATATAAATGCTTCAAATGCTTCACAGCATTTTTGCTTTAATCAAGGAAAATGTAAATGAAATGAGAGTACTGAAATTTGTAATGTTGTAGTCGACACTGTCTTGCACTGCAATTTGTCCAAGACAATATTATTAGTAGCACAATGCCAACAGTATGCAAAAATCTATTAAAAACTAAACAAATATCTCAATTTGGACATAAATTCTTTGTGCAATGATTTATCAAAACCATTAAAATCATGTACCAGTAATAATAAAAAATATTTACCAGAAAAAGGCAGCGTTGAATGTAATGAAACGTCTTTTATTGTGGGGGGGGATAGCCCCGAAGGCTCTCTGAAGTTAACCGAACTGATGTGTGCTATATTAGTTTAGGGTCATCAGTCACGTGGAGTTCTATGCCTACTGGGAACCACGAGCCAGAACCTGGTCCCCCTCAAGAGAGGCGCAGGAAGCAATGGCATATGAGCACTTTACATTTAAAGTACAGTGGCACCTCGACTAAAGAGAATTTTGAGTTATGATGTAAATTTGATCGAAAAATACGACTTGACTTACGATAGCGTCGTCGACTAACGCTATTTGTTAATATACGTTTGGGTCGACCGAGCGCGTGGTTCCTGGTCGCGCGGGCCGCCCTGCCTCAGTTTACTACAGCCACCAACTTAGTGACGATCATGCCTATAAGAAATTCCGTTTTTGTGGTGATTTTTTGCTTTATGAACATGAAACTATTATATATCACGCCATGGGTCCCAAGAAAGTCAGTGGTAAGGTTCAACATATGAAATCCCATGTAAGGATGACCATAGAGCAAAAACAAGAGATCATTCGTAAATATGAAGATGGTGTGCGGGTTGTTGAACTAGCTAGGCAGTACAACAAATCTCAGTCAACGATATCCACCATACTTGCTAAGAAAAAGGACATTATGAGTGCTAAAGTGGCAAAAGGCGTATCAATAATCACGAAACATAGAACACAAACACTTGAGGATGTTGAACAGTTATTATTAATTTGTATACACAGCAAAGAGTTAGTGGGTGATAGAGTTTCAGAGGCCATCATTTGTGAAAAGGTAAGAAAATTGCATGAAGATCTTACTAAGAAAACACCTGGAATGAGTGATGCAGAAGCGAAAGAGTTCAAGGCGAGCAGGGAATGGTTTGAGAAATTTAGAAAAAGAAGTGGCATTCATAGTGTTGTGAGGCATGAGGAGGGTGCCAGCTCAGACAAACCAGTGGCTGAAAGATTTATTGGCGAATTTAAAGATTTTGGGCAGAGTGAGGCATACCTACCACAACAAGTGTTTATTTGTGATGAGACAGGGCTATTCTGGAAAAGATTACCGAAGAAACATACATTACCAAGAAGAAGTCATTGCCTGGACACAGGCCTATGAAAGGCAACTACCTCGCGCCCACATCAGAAGGGGCAGTCCCCAAGGCCACACGAGCCTCATCCCAATCTAAACCACCCCGACTCTGAAACCCTCAGACATTTAGGAGCCGAAATCCGGGGATGAGTAGCAGGACAAACCATGCCACCTGGGAAGAAAGCCGGGGCACAGATGGAACCAATGTCAAAGCGACCAATGCTCCAAAGTCCTGGGGGGGGGGGGTGTCGTTGGTGGGGAAGGGAAGAGATAAGCCTAACACTTGACCCAGTTAACCAGATGTTTCTTTATTTAATTCTGGATGTACATCATATATATTTTTGCTTGCAGATTTTGTTTAGTAATATTATTAGGATAATAAAAAGTTATAAAATACTTGTTTCATGAATGCTTTATTAGATGGAGATTCTCCAGGCTGTATCTGGCTGGCTGGCAGTCTACCGAGCCATTTTCCAGAAGGGTCTTGGGGGGGGGGGGGGGAGGCAGAAAGTGAGGGTGTGGGGGTAGAGGTTCAGTGAGAGTGAGGGAGGGGCTGAAAGGGGTAGGCGGCCTGCTTGCCATGTGAGGACCCTCTGATGCCATGACAAACCCAATACCGACCTTCGGTAATATCGACAGCCAGACCGTTATACGAGGCTCTAAATACCCTTCTCCCAAACCGGTCATTATTACCGGCAGATCGGTATAAAAGAGGCTGTTAAATTGAGTGGATAATGTATCAGTTCAGATAGCTTCAGGAGAGCCGACGGGGCTCCCCACAGAAAAGAGGTTACTCATCCATCTTGCGCTCAGACATACCGAGCCGAGCCTGGCAAACTAGTAGTGTCTAGGGAGGGTCCGGTGCTAAGACTTAGGGAATGTTAAGTAATTATCAGGTGAAAATGCTTAGCCAGTGTGACAATAGAGCCCTTGGAGGGAATATGAGGAGCAGCAGCTGGGATATGAGGGTGGGGTGAAGGAGCAGTGCCCAACCACTTGCACCATCGGAGATCGAACACCGACCCTGTAATATACAAGATTGTTGCTGTACTGACCAGTCCAAGTGGCCGGACATAAAAACTTTGGGAGGTTACCAAGGTGGCTTTGCTCAGAAAACATTCCCAACTCCTACCATCATTAGTGAAATTACTACTGATCTGTGTGCCTATTATTGTTCTCTCCAAGAATGAGTTTGCAACAATGTTTACCTACCTGGGGCAAGTCTGTTGGGGCTTCAGTGTTGTCAGTGCTGAATGATGTCTTGGCTTCCTTTCTACATTTCTTAATTTGCTTTTGTTTATTGACTACCAGACTATTGTTATGACACTGTCTTATGGGGCTCTTGTCATTCTTTTTAGTTTTGGGTTTACATTTAGTTTTCTCTGCAGACATGAGTTTTACATTTTTCTGGTTCATTGTTCTGTGGCCTCCCTCTCCAAATAATTGCTTTTCTTCATTGTAGGTCTTCTTCCCTTTTTTCATTCCTACCGAATCCCTTTTTTTATCTATGTTGTCTTCAGCTTTCCTCTTCTTTGGAAAGAAATTACTCTTTTTTGATGACATGCGTACATTTGCGTTCTTTCTTCGATCTGAATTGATTCTTTGATCTGAATTGAAGTCATCTACTAAATCAATCGTAGAGTCTTGTAAATTCTTACATTTTAAACTTTGTTGCAATACTAAAGTGCCTTTCTGAGTTGTCTCAGTTAAAATGTATTTATCTGTTACATCAATTTCTTCATTCACAAGATTATAACTTGTGGATTTTCTCTTTGATATATTTTTTAAATTACTGTCACTTGTGGTGGGTAAAGAAGTCTTGTTCAGTGTTTCCGTGGCACCGTTTTTGTTGACGTCTTCCATTCTCTCTAGAGCAAGAATGCCACATGCTCCATCTGGTTTATTTTCTGCTTCAGATAAGTTAATTACCATGTTTTTAAGCTCCAAAGAATTTTTAGATTTTTCCCAAGGAATATTTGTAGGAAAACTGGGTTTCTTAAAACGTTGGCAAGGAAATGCAGAATGATCCCCCATCTTTCGATTCAATTTAACTACACTATCTTTTTCTATTTTACTTGATTTGATTTCTGCACTATCAGTAATCTGTAAAGAATTGGGGAACTTTACAAATTTACGAGTAATTTTCTTATTGGGACTATGCGTTTTAAAATCATGATTTTCTTGTACAAATTTTGGTTTAAACACCAGCTTCTTTAATATAGAAGAGTTACCAGATTTGAAGGAAGATGCTTCTGTTCCTGTGTACTTATGCTCTACAGCAGACAACTTCTGATGTCCACAAAGAGACTGAAGACGAGCAGGAGGTACATAGTCTTTCCTTCCTTTGGTGATAGCAGAACCTTCGGTACAACCAGGGGAATAGTCTTGTCCATATCTGCTAAAATCTTTCACTTTAACTTTATCTTGGTTGATACCTTTAGGAGTAGAGGTGATGTTCTTCCTGTTTAAAGGGTAGCCAACTATTGGCGATTCGGAAATCTTTTTAAAAGGAACCTTGAACATAGGTTTTCCTGAAGGTGGACAAAGATTGTTGTGTTGACCATCATGTGTGTTACCTGTACTCCTGTTATTGCAGCTTGAGGAAATTTTCTTTACAGCTGTTTCACTTGTGATCTCCATACTGTGGTCTTGTTCATTTATTTGAATGCAATTGGATGCTTTGTCATCTGATTTGTACTTGGACAGGGTTCTGTCATTACTATTTATATCATATATATGTGGGCATTTGTCAAAATTGGGTCGAAAATCTTTGATTTTAGTATTTCTATTATCCTCACTGATAGGTATCAAGCATAAACTACTAGAGGGCTCATTTACTTGGCTTTTTAGTTTTTTGGGGGGACATTCATCATCAGTTACACAACTAACATCACAACCAGCATCTAAAACTGTTACTGGAACCACTGTCAATTTCTCGACATTATCAGTGTGTTGTACATATTCTACACCTTTGCCATCAGTCTTACTATCTAACAAAAATTCACTCTCTTCATCTGCATTATTTACTCTCACAATATTTAATTCTGGGAGAACATGATCAGCCAAGCTTGAGCCACGGGTTGTAGGAGCAGAAATACGGTCTCCACATATATCACTATCACACTTTGCATCTAATTCGCTCTCTCTCTTCTTTGCTATATCTCTATTCTCATTTTCCGAAGAATCTTTTATATCGACTTCTGGTACCACAATTGAGTTCATAAGACTTTCTGGAGCAGAGTGAACCAAGATATCAGTGTCACTTATAGGACTTGAGCCTAAAATTGGTGAAAGGGAGAGATCAAACAGAGGAACTTCAAATGCATTTTCATTTGTATTTTTCTTATAAATATTGTGCATATTACTAATTTCACTGTGAGAAATATTAGGGTACTCTTGAAGCTGTTGAACCAACATCAAATTATCTTGAGGTGTTGCTTCTAAGTCAATAACATCTTGATTATCATCTTCACTGTAAGAAACTCTATGGATTATCCTTGGCATCATTTTTTTCTTCACATATTTTGAAAAATCATGAAATTTAAACCTGGGAGTTTGTAAGTGCCTGTGATCCTGGTCGTCATGTGTTTCAAACAAATTTTCAGTTCTTGCTTCTTGTCCATTGGTAACGTGTTCTTCTGCATCATTTCTCGATAAGTTTTGCAATGGAAAGTTGGATTTTAAAGTGTCGCTGATCTTATCCACAAGCAATGGCCCAGCTTCTGACAATGGACCAGCTTCTGACAGTGGACCAGCTTCTGACAATGGACCAGCTTCTGACAGTGGACCAGCTTCTGACAATGGAATGTGACCAAAAGTCATTGAAACATCTAATGATGTAGTGGAGATATCAGCATGTCCATGTCCATTTACATTACTCTCTCTTCTAGTAATGTTCTCAGTATTTATCTCCTTATCACCTTCTGTAACATACCACCTAAAAAAAAAAAAAAAAAAAGTGTTAAATGTAATGAAATGCCATTTTCTGGGCGAGACCCACAGGCTCCCCGGAGCTATATATGTATATATAGCTGATGTGTATACATTAGACCATGGCAACAGTCCAATTGATGGAGTTCTAAGTCGAACGGGGACCATGAGCCAGAACCTGGCCCCCCACAGAGAGACATGAGAAGCAATGTCTCCCATGTGGGGGCATCTATAGGTGAGCTGGGAAAGAACCAAATCCCTGGCTAGCAGATACATGGACTGGTTGGAAACCCAGACTAGCCAGTCGTCAAGGTAGGCCAGAACCTGAATCCCTAACAGAAGCAAACGGGTCACCATGACCCAGGTAAGGTGTGTGAGCACTCGACGTGCCAGATTCAAACCAAACGGAAGGCAATGAGAGTGGAAAGTCTGTTGCCCCATGACAAAACCGAGCCAGTGCCTTAACCCCGCATGAATAGGGACCTGCCAATACAGGTTAAAGAGGTCTAGACCTAGGACAGAGTGGGCATCCAAAAGGAGGGGCAAAAGACCCTGGGGTTCAGATGGGACAAGTCCAGAATGAACTGCAGGTCCACACAGTCCGGTTACGGAACTGGAAACAAACAAGAAACTCACTTGAGGGAGCCAGCCCATATCCCCCCAAAGGCGGAGGAGTCACCCAACGCTACCGCAGGAGTGGAGGAAACAACCCAAAACACCCATGAATCTTAGGACCAGGCGAGAGCAAACAGCACGAGCCTCCCCCCCTCCCCCATTTGCCCCGTCAACAGGGCGAACCGTAAAAAGGCCGACAACCCTTCCGAGAGCTCAACCAAAGCTTAGAGCGACCACTGCGCCGACCAGATGCCAGCCCCGAATCTGGCACTAGTAGCTTACGATGTCCAAAAGAACCTTTGAACAAAAGAAGCCCTGCCATGACCTTTCTGGGCAGAACAAGATCATGCCAGGTCATTCCCCCCCCCACCCCACCCCTGGAGAACCGACAAATCCGACATAGGATTTGAGACTGCAAACAGCAAATGACAAAAAACCAGCATTGAATGTAATGAAACGCCATTTTCTGGGCGGGTCCCGGAGGCTCCCTGGAGCTATCCGGGCTGAATGGTATGTATGACTTTCTGGCATTAATCAAGGTGCTTGGAGTTCTTGCCTTCCAGGGACCACGAGCCAGAACCTGGCCCCCTCAGAGGCGCACGAGGAGCAATGGCCTATAGAAACCCCCGTGGTTAGGAGCATTTTATGTCTGCCATCGACTGGGACAGGCACCCAGAAAGGTAGGGGCCCCAAAACAAACCCCTAGTCTGGTGAAAATATTGCTACCAGAAGCCAAACGAGTGGACAGAACTCCCCAAACAAAATTATCAAACTAGCATGACATCACATCGCCGCACCACCGTCTGCACAACCCCCCCACCCTCCCCGGGAGGGAAAAGGGGGAGCCCCAGACTCTCCGCACCTGCGATCCAACCGGCAGTTCTTAGGCTGGATGTCAAAATATGCAAAAAACACTGCCGACCAGAGGGAGGGATGCCGAGGAGCGTCCGGGACTCACCCAGTAAATGGCGTTTCATTACATTCAAAGCTGGTTTTCTGGGGCGAGCGCCATCGGCTACCCGGAGCTACCTCACCACAGATAAGTAAAAGAGGGAGGCGGACGTCACGTGCCCTAACATAAAAACAAGACCACAGACAAAACTAAAGGACCCTGCAGACGACCCGGGAGACCCAAACCCCAGAACAGGAAGGGGGGAAGGAAGAGAACCTGGGCTAACCAAAATGCATCCACGGCCCCAGAGGCCAAAACGCACAGAGAACAGCGAAGAGCCCAACCGAACAAGAAGTGAAGCACCCTCGGCTTGACCAACCAAGCAGCAACCCAAGGACCCCTCCGGAAAGCAGCAGACCCAAACATCACCCAAAAAGAGAGCGACTGCACCAAACGAACAACCTACCACGAGGACCAAACAAGGCAGAAAAAACACGGGCGCCGGAGGAGAGCCGGAAACTCCCCGACCCGACCCCTAGAGGTCAATGTCAACGGAAGAAGGAGACCTGAAAAACAGAAAAAGAAACACCAGAACTGAAGGGATCACAACAAACCGAGGAGAAAAAAGAAAACAGACCACCCGGACCAACGACCAGGACGGCACCAGAAGAGCAAGAGTAGGCCGCAGGTGAAACAATGCCCCAAGACAGCAAACGGAACAGCAACACCGAACGCAAGCTGGAGCGGCTCCGCCAGCGCCACCCAAAACGGCGCGATAGGACACGGCACCAGACGACTGTCCCGGAACAACCTCGAAGGGAAAGACAAGACAACCCTATCAGAGACCGAAGAACACTTCGCAGTGATAGGAAAACCGGAAGGACCGCCAGGAAAACTACTGTACACACAAACCGCCGCCGAGACGAAGCACGCAGGCAGAAGACCAACAATGAAGCCACCAGTGTCCACACAAGCGACAAGAAACTCGAGACAAAAACCAGAGATGCAAAGACTCGAGGGGATGAACGAACCAGCCTCGTATAGGGCTGGACCGATCCGCAAAAAGAGGCGGAGCCGCAGGAAGACCCTCAGGATCGGAAACCGAGTAAAGCAGCGCCCTCTACCAAGGCTGGCAAAAACCAGAAGGAACGGCCACCAGGGAACTATGATCCCAATCCCGGCGAGCTGAAAAGGAACCAACCCAGGCAAGCAGACATGCCCTGTCCGGGAAGAATCCCCCTAGGACCCCTGAAGGACCAACAAGGCCAAACACCGAGGAGCCAGAGCCAAGGCAGAGGCCAACGATGAAAAAGAGCACACGAACTAAAGCGCGAGATGTGAAGTGAAAAACAGCGACCCCGCAACCCAAAGGAGCAGCGCAACCAGCTCCAGCAGGGAAGAACGATGCATGCATCTCCAAGGTATATATGAGGAGAACTACGCAGGATGTGTACCACAGGAAAACAAAAATGTACGTTCTGAGAAAGGAACAAAGAAAAGCCATAGCCAGGACTGGAATCCTAGCTACCTCTGTCCCAAGAAAAGGAACCATTAGGGCAGGAGCAGTTGACCAGAAGTCCACAACCACTCGCAGACATTGCAACACAGAAGCCTGCAGTGAGATACAAGGAGAAAGTGAAAGAACTCAGTACCAAAACTGAACACTGGGGTAGTCCAAAAGCAGGGAACTGAACATGGACAGAGGCCCAGCACCTAACATCAGTATACCAATAAGCACCAACCAAGATGCACAACCATGTGTAGCATAGAGGGAGGCAAAACGGAAATAGGCAAAGAAAAGACCCAAATTACGGACCAAGCACGGAAACTAGGAACAAGAAAGTACAACGCATATGACAAACGGCGAAGATCCAAGTAGCAGCCGGTAGCACAATGTACACGACCAACCACATCGTGTGTTGTGGTTGGTCGCACATACACAGAGGGACACCATGGATATCAGGGTGCAGCCAGGCACCAAAGATAAGCAAGGAAGGAGTGTCCAGAGATCAGAGACCGAGTCAAGGAATAAGGACACAGAAAGCACGGACTGAGGGAACGAAGGAGTGTCCAAATATCGAGAAAAGACCCAGACGCCGAAAACTGAAACATAAAGCACCGAAATTTGGGGCAGTACCCCCACAGTACAACTAAGAACAAGATACACAGACAAAGTAGTCACTAAGGCACACGCAAAGTGTCCAAACAAAACACACAACACCTAACACCCCATAAAAAAATCATCTGCCTATCATTAATATTTAGAGTATTGGAAATTATTTACTACAGTACAGTAATTCATTGGATTTTACTTCATTCAAGTGAAGCAAGTCTATAATACTTACTCAGTATTTTCCAGCCCTCTTCTCTCTGCTGCCTGTTTAAGAGAAAATAAAAAGATGAACGTTCAAAATTCACTCATGTCTTATAATTTTATTTACAATAAATCTACCACTATCATTCTGCAGGTTCAGTGGGAATGAATTAAGATGCATGTAGTATTTATTACTATACATGAATATCTAAACAATGCTAACTAAAAAAGTAAGATAATAGAGGAGGTGAGGAATAATGAGCCAGATCTCACTCCCCAGTATTCGTATATGTATACAGTGGAACCTCGAATAACGAATTTAATCCGTTTCGGCACCGAGTTCGTTATGTGAAACGCTCGTCTTTCAAAACGAATTTCCCCATCTAAAATAATGGAAATCAAATTAATCTGTTCTACCACCGAAAAACACCAATATGATATTCGATGTTTTAAATAATGGAACAGCCTACCTTACATACCCTGAACAAACCTTAATGACATTTTTCTTTCTTCAAATTTGTTTAATTTTTTTTTTCATTATTCTTTATAGCAAAAGGTTCGTTTGGTGTTTGTCAGGTAGGCTGCTCCATGCTTCCTAAAAAAAAGAAATAGAAAAAACAGAACAAACATCAAAAAGGTTCGTTCGGTGTTTGTCAGGTAGGATGCTCCAAGTTAAAAAAAAAAAATTAAAAAAATGTGAAAAATGGACAAATGCCATAAAGGTTCGTTCAATGTTTGTCGGGTAGGATGCTCCATAATGACAATCTTTCTTTGTTTCAAATGTGTTCAATTTGTTTTGTATTTCTCATATATTTATTAATAATGGAGCAGCCTACCCGACAAACACTGAACGAACTTTTATGACATTTTTCAATTTTTTTTTTTATTTTCGTATTTTTTTTAAGAGACTTGGAGCAGCCTACCTGACAAACACCGAACGAACCTTTTTGACACTTGTTCTGTTTTTCAAAATTTTCATTTTTTTATTCTACAAAAATAAGTCAATGCTTTGCAACATCACAGCAGTCACCCCTTTACATCCCAGCATCATTAGCATCTTTAAAAAAAAAAATATTTTATTTGCATCGTCGGAGGCATCCGAGAATGTGCGAGAAGCAGCAGGAACGTACGATGCGGTTTTCTCGTTAATTAAACGAGTGCTCGCCAATCGAGACAAATTGTCGGCGATCGGTGAGTTCGTTATTCAAAATGCTCGTAAATTGAGGCACTCGTCACACGAGGTACCATTGTTTTGCTGACTGAGGATGAAATTAATAAGAATTTGTTCCCGGATGGTGAGGATTCTGATATTGAAGACTCCGACATTGATCATGACTACACACAGCCCTCGGATGTGGATACGACTGACGGTGAATTTTCCAGTAATTTTCCATCACCGGCCCTGCCCGCCCCTACTGTTGTTAGACCTGCTTCAGCTCCTGGTCCACGGTTTCCTCGCCGTGGTGCTGCTATTGCCTCTCGAAAGACACAAGGTGTTTTTGTGTGGAGTGATGGGACAGATTTTGTTCCACAAATTCCTGTCTTTGATAATACAGATGTTGGGATTACAGACCTTTTCCCCGATACAGGTCCCGATATGTGTGAAATGGACTACTTTACCGCATATTTTGATGAGTCACTCATGGAATATATTGTTCAGGAAATGAACAAATATGCGGCTGATCTAATTGATGAGGAACAGTTATCCGATTTGTCATGTTTACAGAGATGGAAAGATACGACTATAGGTGAAATGTATGTGTATTTGGCACTGTGTATGTTGATGAAACATTGTGTCAAACACGTACTTGACCATTATTGGAGCACAGACCATACTGTTCCAACACCGATGTTCGGCAAATATGTCTCGAGATCGATTTTCCATAATCCTCAGGTGTCTTCACTTTGCAAATGATGAAGACCGGAATGATGATCATAGACTTTGGAAGGTAAGGTACGTCCTTAATGAACTTATTGGAAATTACAGGCATTTCTACGTATCAGCTCAGAAGCTGGTGATTGACAAATCCCTTGTGCTTTTCAAAGGACGTCTTGCCTTCAAGCAGTATATTCCCTCCAAACGCCACCGATTTGGATTGAAATTCTTTGTACTCCGACTGTGAAACAGGAATGGTGTTACACATGATAATGTATACGGGTACAAATGTAGACATTCCTGCTAATGCCCAACATGGCTTCTCAGATAGTATGGTGAAGTCACTGCTTGCACCATATCTGAACAAGGGCCACATATTATACACAGATAACTATTATACCAGTCCCTTGCTAACTAGATTCTTGATTGATAATAGAACTGGAGTGTGTGGCACAGTGAAGGCAAAACGAAGGGAAATTCCAGTACTTCACACTGCTATGCAGGTTGGTGAGTACGAGCTAAGAAAAACCGGTGCAATGCTTTCAGTGCGGTGGAAAGACAGGCGTGAAGTGAACATGTTGACCACCATTCATGATGGTACAATGTTGGACAGTGGCAGGGTGAACAGAACAATAAAACAAATAATCTATAAGCCAGATTGTGTCTTGGAATATAACATCAACATGCATTTGGTGGATAAATGTGATATGATGGTGGGGGCAGTGGAGTGTGTATGGAAAACAGTGAAGTGGACCAAGAAAATGTTTCTTCACCTTGTTGACGTAACAATGCTGAACAGTTACAATATGTATCTTGTCAAAACAGGTGGTAAACGCAATTTCTGTGCATTCAGTTTTACTGTAGCGACACAGTTACTAGAGAAGTTTGGCAAAGCAATACCTGGTACACAGAGGCCCAATCTGAACCTGGTATTGCACCATGCTCCCACACCCAGGCTCGCTTTCAAGGATGCTTTTGTCACAAGCACTCTAAGGTATTTACCACCAACTGGAAAGCGTGCAGTAGGCCAGCGTGAGTGCATTGTATGGCATGAGTGGACAAAGGAAGAACTGGATGACAAACGAGAGGGTCTCATAATGGTCAATGAGAGAGATTATGGTAAGACCTGACAAAGATAAATCCCAATTGTTGGTACTGGGGGACTTCAATTTTAAGGCAATAGACTGGGAGGCATACGAGGCAAGAACAGAGGACATTTGGACAGGCAGATTTTTAAACCTCATCTTGGAGACATTTATGTATCAACACATCAAGCAGGCCACAAGAATGAGGGAAGGGGATGTTCCGTCAGTACTGGACCTAGTATTCACCAGGAAAGAAGAAGAGGTATTTGACATCTAGTACTTTCCTCCCTTGGGAAAGAGTGATCACGTTCTCTTGACCATTAAATACGCTATGCGATATAATCTAGTAGAGAATAGGGACATTGGAACAGTTGTTAAAACTCAATTTCAAGAGAAGATGCTATGGGGAACTAAAAATTTTTTTCATGGTTATAATTGATGCTAGACAGACTTGTTGCTAGGCAAGGAAGTAAATGAGATGTATGCCAAATTTTGCAAAATATACGATGAAGGCACACAAACATTCATACCAAAACAGACATGTAGACCTAGGAAACAGGGTTGGTTCAACAGAAATTGTAAGAGGGCCAAATATCAAGACAAGCATGGAATCATTATAGAAAGAGGCCAAATCTCCAAACATACCAACGATACAAAGATGCAAGAAACAACTACACGTCGGTAAGAAAAGAGGCATAGAGGGACTTTGAGAACGGAATAGCAGACAAATGTAAATCAGATCCAGGCCTTTTCTATAAATTCATCAAAAGCAAGCTGCAGGTAAAGGATAATATTCAGAGGTTGAAAATGGGGGACAGATACACGGAAAATGAAAAGGAACTGTATGAAACATTAAATGAAAAGTTCCAAAGTGTGTTTGTACAAAATGAGATCTTCAGAGAACCAGACAATAAGAATTCCAGAGAACCGCATAGAGCACATAGAGGTGTCTTGAGACGAAGTGAAACAAATGCTCAAATGAAATACAAATGCTTTGTAAGAACAAAGCAGTTGGCCCAGATGGAGTTTCACCATGGGTTCTGAAAGAATGTGCATCTGAGCTCAGCATTCCACTTCACCTGATCTTTCAGGCATCCCTGTGTATAGGAGTTGTAGCAGATGTGTGGAAAAAGGCTAACATAGTTCCAATCTACAAAAGTGGCAGCAGGGAAGACCCCCTCAATTATAGACCTGTATCACTGACATGTGTAATAGTGAAAATATTGGAAAAAATAATAAAAAATAAATGGGTAGAACACCTGGAGAGAAATGATATAATATCAGACAGACAGTATGGTTTTCGATCTGGAAGATCCTGTGTATCGAATTTACTCAGTTTCTATGATCGAGCCACAGAGATTTTACAGGAGAGAGATGGCTGGGTTGACTGCATATATCTTGACCTAAAAAAGGCTTTTGACAGAGTTCCACACAAGAAGTTGTTCTGGAAACTGGAAAATATTGGAGGGGTGACAGGTAAGCTTCTAACATAAATGAAAAATTTTCTGACATAGAAAAATGAGGGCAGTAATCAGAGGCAATGTATCGTACTGGAGAAGTGTCACAAGTGGAGTACCACAGGGTTCAGTTCTTGCACTGGTGATGTTTATTGTGTACATAAATGATCTACCAGTTTGAATACAGAATTATATGAACATGTTTACTGATGATGCTAAGATAATAGGAAGGATAAGAAACTTAGATGATTGTCATGCTCTTCAAGAAGACCTTGATAAAATAAGTATATGGAGCACCACTTGGCAAATGGAATTTAATGGGAATAAATGCCATGTTATGGAATGTGGAATAGGAGAACTGTTACGACCCTGGGTTCTCCAGTGGAAACCAGAGGTCAAAACTTGAGCTATTAAACTTTCTGATAGTACAGTTGAGTGCATCACGAACGGCAATTGTTTGCATCTTCCCTGCCAGACGTAAGACTATTCTTGTTTCTCAAAGAGCATTTAAAGACTGAGCTGGGGGGTTGATTATTAAATAATAACATAGGCACCAACTTTGCTTACTAATACTTTCTAATCATTTGTAAAGTAACAATACGTTGCATAGGGGAAGATCTTTAATGTGCTTAGCTGCACGATCAATTAGGCTCCTTCCGGCACCACGACATGAGGGAGGGCTAGCTGGTCGCTAGGAGCCTTCTTCTCTGGCTGGCGTTCGTGCGGACGAGACCTACTCTGTATCTGCACCCCTACTCTTCTCCCTTCTCTTACTTATTTCCCTTACCTGAAGTTCCTGTACCCTTAAGTTAAGTACGGGGCATTATTAAGTGTACCTACTCTGGTAGTAACGATTGGTGAGACCTGGGGGTAGTATTTGCCAGTGTTTTGGGTACCCCTAAGTGTTGTGTTTTGTATTAGGGTCCCACGTGGTTTCCCTACCCTAAGCTGCATCCAGCTTCAGTGCTTATCCAGTAGTACTTTACCCTAGCTTGTTCTTAGTGTAAACCTTGTATCCTGCCTACGTGGACCAAGGCTTTTAACGTAAGATAGTGTGGTAAAGTTATTATTATTATTGTTATTGGTGTGAGTGTATATGGGGGGTTGTTAAGGGGTTAATAAATAAGTACATGAATTACAGAGTATCCCTTCTTCCTGTGTGGGAGCGCATTGATCAACCCTTAGACTAACATATATGGTCTAGTAGCAAGTTATTCCTACTGTGGATAGTTTATTTTGGGGGCCGGGCCTTTTAGCTCTCCCATATTTGATACTCTGTCTTCTAACTACCCTTACCCCTTAATAGTACCAGTTCCCCATAGAGCCCACCACACACCATTACTTATAACAAGAACATAGACCCCACACAACCTATATATTATGTGAGAAATCTTTAAAGAATTCTGATTAAGAAAGAGATCTAGGGGTGGTTCTAGATAGAAAACTATCACCTGAGGACCACATAAAGAACGTTGTACGAGGAGCCTATGCCACGCTTTCTAACTTCAGAATTGCATTTAGATACATGGATGGCGATATACTAAAGAAATTGTTCACGACTTTTGTTAGGCCAAAACTAGAATATGTAGCGGTTGTGTGGTGCCCATATCTTAAGAAGCACATCAACAAACTGGAAAAGGTGCAAAGACATGCTACTAAGTGGCTCCCAGAACTGAAGGGCAAGAGCTACGAGGAGAGGTTAGAGGCATTAAATATGCTAAAACTAGAAGACAGAAGAAAAAGAGGTGATATGATCACTACATACAAAATAGTAACAGGAAATGATAAAATCGATAGGGAAGATTTCCTGAGACCTGGAACGTTAAGAACAAGAGATCATAGATTTAAAGTAAATAAACAAAGATGCCGAAGAAATTTAAGAAAATTCACTTTCGCCAACATAGTGGTAGACGGTTGGAACAAGTTAGGTGAGAAGGTGGTGAAGGCCAAAACCATCAATAGTTTCAAAGCGTTATATGACAAAGAGTGCTGGGTAGATAGGACACCACGAGCTTAACTCTCATCCTGTAACTACACTTAGGTAATTACACTTAGGTAATTACACTTAGGTAATTACAAAAACCCAAGTGGGGCAAAACGGGGCCAAGGCCGCCCCCAGGCAACCCCTCCACAATCCCGGGAAACTCTACGACAGGACCCGGGGTCGAACAGTAACCCCAAAGCCCCAGCCTCACCAGGGAAAAGCCGGGGCAGCCATACAAAACGCTAAGGAAGGGAGCCCACTGGTCAGACCTATACGGCACAGCTGGAGAAACAGGCTCGAATGCCTCTGCCGCCACCCCGGAAGAGGAAAACCCCCAAGACTGCCCGAGTCTCAACCCAACCAGACCCTGCTCCAACCCCGAAACCCTATGGTTCAGAGCCGGAAGCAAGGGAAGGAAGTATGCACAACAGAAGGGAAAGGACTAGGAGGAGTGGATGGATCCGGAGCTGAAGTGACCCCCACCCTCAAGTCTGGACCCCAACCACCAAAACGGGGCAGTCTCGGAGCATCCGTGGTAGCAACCAACCTAGAGCATTGCAGCAACCTAAACCTAGCATGCAACGCCGCAGCCGCCTGCACCCGCTTATCATGACCAGTGACCTGGGTGAACGAGAGCACGTACAGACAACACCCGTTGCACGACTTCGGGTCAAAAGAAACAATGACCCAACAAGTAGCATGGCAGAGGCACAACCGGTGAGTGTCACCCTGAGACAAGAGGGCAGATCAACCTGCAAACTCGCAAGACGCGAGGGGGGACGCAGGGGTCACATCCATCTGAACTCGGAGCCCCCATGGTGTTTCCCAGGACCCTTAGCCATGGTTACACACCAAGGGAAGCCCAGGCAGGGTACTGTGAACCGGCACCCAAATCTACCAAACAAACTTCTAAAAGCTGAACCCCAGGGACATGTCCACTCACGGGAGCCAAGCGGGAAGTACCATCAAACAGAAAATATATATAGTATATAAAAACTCCTAGAACAGCAAAGGGGGATCACAAAGGCAGACTCTCCTACCAGGCAAAAACAAAAGAAAAACCCCGCAAGAGGACAACGTACCCAGGCGGAACAGAGCCGGCCACTGTTACTGGTGAAAACTAGCTGTGCAGTACCCCGCGCCCCTACCAGTGATGAAAACTACCTCCTACCCAGAGATAAACAAGGGCAATAAATTCCCATCTGACTCCAAGGGTGGCCCAGTACCGAGCAGTAAACGACACAGCGGAGGTAGAACTAAAGGTTACTTGTGGAAGGTGGCCCCAAGCCTCGAGGGCAGTACTTACAGGGCATCTAGGGAAGAGAGCCCTAGGCGCATGCAGCCCGAGTACCGTGGAATCTCACTCCTGGCTCACACCCCACCGGTAGAGACAGCCCACACCACAAGGCACAGAACTGAAACAAGACCAAAGCCAGAGGCACTCGACCGGCCAGTAATCACATCAGCCAAGAACTGCCGGTTGGATCACTGGCACGGATGGTCTGGGGCTTCCCCTTCCCCCTCCCGGGCAGGGGAGGGGGTTGCGCAGACAGTGGCGCGGCGACATGATGACGTCATGCTAGTTTGATCATTTTGTTTGGGGAGTTGTGTCCACTCGTTCGGCTTTCGGTAGCAATATTTCACCAGAATAAGGGTTTGTTTTGGGGCGCCTACCTTCCTGGGTGCCTGTCCCGGTCGATGGCAGACATAGAATGCTCTGAACCACAAGGAGGTTTAGGCCATTGCTCCTCGTGCTTCTCTGAGGGGGCCAGATTCTGGCTCGTGGTCCCCGGTAAGCAAGAACTCCAAGCACTTTGATGCCAGAAAGTTATACATATCCATTCAGCCTGGATAGCTCCAGGGAACCAATGGGGCTCCCCCCCAGAAAAATATTTTTGGGATATTGACGAAAGTAACATATATTAACATTGGACAATGTATTTATATGATATATAACAAAATAGATCATATTATTATTCATTAGTTATCTGTGTTGTTATGTTATTATAGTTATTCATTATTATCTGTGTTGTTATGTTATTATAGTTATTCATTATTATCTGTGTTGTTATGTATTACTCAGCAATGATATAAAAATACCAACTGCATATCCACTTTGTGGACACTTCTTCCTACTATTATTGTTCTTTGAGGGTCGGACAGGTGCTTGCATCTCTTTATTACTGCATAATCCTTCAGTTCCAGTTATTAGGAGCTTACCAATAAAACATTCTTATTTTTCAAAAATTTGTCCAAAATCAATTTCTGAAAATATTTAGATGAAAGTTTCACGACACTGAAGCCAATAAGTTGGAGATTTTTTTTTAACATTTTTAAGTTATTTTTACATAATTTGAATATTTTTCGCTACAATGCCCACTATATTCGCGGTAATATGCACGGTCTAAGGGTTAAGGCACTCTGCGCAGTGAAGTGGTTAAGGACCTACCCAAAATGCTGTGTGCTAGTGGCTTTATAAGAAAGTAAAAACTCTTGTAAACATAAATAATAAAAACAATTACCTGAGTGAAGGTAAGCTGCGGGACTTTGTCTCCCTCAACTTGTGTTGAGTCACCCATTACCATCTGGGAGGAAAATGGTTGCGTGCATCCTGGCTGGGCCTCGGGCTCAGCTTGAAACTGTCTATAATATACTTCTTTGTAGTAAGCACCAGGATCTAATGGTAGAGAAAAATAAGCGTGGCATGCATTAGTGAAATTGTGAAAATGGCTTTGATATAACACTGGAACAAAATCTGTGTTGACACATTGTTACTACTAACTTGGGGTCGGATACCCAAACTCTAATAACATCAGAGAAGAACCCAGTTGCGACCCAATAGGGCCGTAACACACATACACATGACATTTGAAGACAAAGGATGCTCTTCTGGAAATTAAAACACACAAGGGTGACAGGAAGTCTACTAGCATAAATGGATTTTTTTTTAATTTAGAAATATGAAATCAGTGATAAAGAGAAATGAGATAGAATAGATTAATGTCACTAGACTCGCTAGTAGATCCACAAGACTTGGTACTAATGCGAACAATGTTCATTGTAAATATAAATGATCTACCTGAATGAATGTGTGCTGTACTTATATTAATATGCAGGCGATGAGTCACAATAACGTGGCTGAAGTATGTTGACCAGACCACACACTAGAAGTTGAAGGGACGACGACGTTTCGGTCCGTCCTGGACCATTCTCAAGTCGAAACGTCGTCGTCCCTTCAACTTCTAGTGTGTGGTCTGGTCAACTTATATTAATATGTTTGTTTATCACATGAAGGTACATACAAAAATAGAAGAATTAGACAATTGTCATACCCTGGAAAATGACAGACAAAAATCCAGCACTGAATTAAATGAAACGCCATTTTCTGGGTGAGCCCTGTTGGACTCGAAAAGGCGTTAAGAGAGAGGACTCGAGAGGAAAATTGTTAACTCGCCAGAGCACCACAAGAGAGCGAAAGTGTTAAAAGGTGCACAATGCTGGGATTAACCAATACAAATCCAACAGGAAGACCATGCAGTCAAAGCTCAAGGGACCAAGAAGACACTCAACGTTATGAGAAAGAGGAGGGCTTCACAAAATGGGTATACTACCAGGCTGGCTGACCACTAAGACAATAGTTCCTGCCATGCCAACACTTGTGCCATTATATGAACTTTCCATACTTAACATATTTACCATAATAAATAATGTACCAAGGGTACTTAGTTATGGTATTGCCTTTGTAATTAGCATTAAATTTAATGTTACAGTGCAGCAGTATACTATGGAATCATATTTAGGAGTAATAGAATATAAAGCTAACATGAGGTGAAGAGCCCAAATACAAACCAACTCTCTTGTGGTGTGAAGGTGCGTGGTGGTGGAGACGGTGTTTGTTGTAGCTGGTGGAGCTTGTCAAAGACCGAAGGATAAGTTGGCCAAGACTACTGAGCCCAGTCACACAGCTCACCTCTGGAGGACGCTTCACTGGAGTCAGTATTACTGCTCTACCCATGCTGCTTCTGAAAGGAAAGTACAGTAGGAGAGCCCATAAAAAAAAAGGCACTGAATGCACAGAAATGAAACACCAATTTTTTGGCGAGTCCTGGCAGCTCTCTGAAGCACTGGGGCTTCAGTACTTCTCCTGCAGTATATCTCCCCCTACTTAGTAGGGGCTTCTACTGTCCTGTTCTTTTCATTCAAAAGGTGACGCCCCTAGTGTCAGCACCTGCATCAGAGGAGCTCCAGGATATTTCACAATTCCTAAGTATTGTAGTACAGGTTGATGATAGTGAGTGGTGTCCCAGGGAACATAAAAGTGCAGTGCTTTGGAAAATTAGGCGAGATAACACGAATGTGCAAAGTGAAGTGAAAAATTGGATGAGAAAAAGTGTCCCCAGTGTTTACAGCACAGACAACAACATTCAAGATGGCCACCAGTAAGAAGGAAAACAAAACAAGAGCTAGATTTTTGGGGTTTTAATGAAGAAAGCATTGATATAAGTAGTCTACACAACAAATTGGCAAAGTTAGATATTATAGTGAACTATCATGAAGAAATAATCAGCAAATTGAAAGAAAATAATGACCATTTGAATAGCAAAGTTTTAGATGTTGAGGGGTTAGTGAAAGACTTGTGCAAGGACAAGAATCAATTGGAAACAAATTGCAAAGCCATGAAAGAGGAAAATAAACTCTTAAAAATAGCTGTGGAAGATGTTAAAGCAAATTTAAACTTAAATGACTATGATAGGTTAGAGTTGGGTGGGTGTGGAGCATATGACTGTGAAGCTGCCGTTCAGTTGGGTGGGTGTACAGCAAGACTAGTAACTGTGCGACTCCTCATAGATGTAAAGTGCCTTGTATAGTGACTGTTGTGAGCCTCTTGTTGAATCACTTGTGACACAAAAGATTACTGATGTGTGTATTTGTGTGGGTGATTAAATATGTATGTGTATGTATATATGTATACGTATGTATATGTACATGTATGCATATGTATGTGTACATGTATATATAACATTAATAATTTTGTAACTAGCGTCAAAAGATTGTTATTTGCTTAGCTAAACGAACTAGAGGGTTCAGTTCCTGAACCGATTATGTGCCTCTGTAATCCTTTACACCACCGCCCACGGGATGGGTATGGGGTGCATAATAAAGAAAGAAAATGAATGGACCAAACCCCACAATTCATTTAGCTAAGCAAGTTACAATTTTGATGAGCTAGTTACAAAATTCACTATAAGTCGCCACATCATAAATGGGTTCGAGATCGACCACAAGTAGTGCATTACAATGGTCACTGCTTGATCGCAAGCGGGGATGTTTCTGGCGGGGGAGAAAGAAACAATTGCGCAGCGCGTCCCGCGGCGTTGCGCGGGCAGTTTGGGGCCGTATAAATACGGGCGCACAAAGGGGCTCTGCCCTCACTCCGCCTGCCCTCGCCGCTGCCCTCGCAAAACCCCACCCTCCCCCCCTTTGCAAGCGGCTGCTTTTGTACCCCCGTCATGCTTTGCACAGTTGTCCCGATTGTCTCCCCACTGCATGTGGGAAGGGGGGTGCAGCGCCGGTCCCCAAGTGTCCCGCTATCCGCAGCTAATACTTTGCCCAGTCTAGGTGCTAGTAAGCCCTACTTGTAGTCACCCCCTTCTGCTTATTCATTAGGTCTTTCCGGCCTCTTGGTCGGGTACATTATGTGTTATGTGGTCTCTCACTTATTAGTTACTCTTTGTGTCCTGCCTGTTATATCCTAGTGTTATATAATTACTCACATTTGCATTCGGCCTTAATTCTAGTACCAGTTAAGCTTTACATTTCTGCAGAATTAGTTTCCATGTCACTATAGGCTAAGGTCTCATAATTACTACGGGTGTACCTTTTAAGTTAAATCTAGTCCTCGGACTTGGAATTGTTACTGTTAATTCTTACTTTATATATTTACATGTTCTGCAGAATTTAATCTTCAATAAACTTTAACGCCCCATACTGCCAGTATCTTTCTCCCCCTGGTCAGAAATAATTTATCAGTATTGTGCAGCCTGTGATCCCCGCCTGGCTGGATACTGATACCTAGGTAGTTTTCATGTGTCTGGACACCGGCGATAGGGTGGTATTATTTATTTAACTTAAGAGATATATATTTTTAAATGTTGTCACATTAACATGTCATGTGCTGTGATGCACAATTTATAGCAAGTTACTCAACACTTTGTAGCGAGTAGATTATCCCAATAATATACTCGCTCCAAATGCATTGTTAATATTCCTGTCAACCTTTGGAGATGAATGAGGTGAGGCGTTACCTGGGCAACACAGTGAGGAGTTGCCCGGGCATATAAGCAGCAGAATAGCAAACATTAACCAGAGTCTACTTTCAAGTGTGGTCTACAGCAGACACTTGCGAGATACTGTACCAACGCTCAGTGCGCTCAACTCACACCAACGTATCACCTGTGTACTTCTGTATATTCGACCAAATATATATATTTGGTCGAATATACAGAAGTACACATATGCCCGGGCAACGCCTCACCTCATTCATCTCCAAAGGTTGACAGGAATATTAACAATGCATTTGGAGCGAGTATATTATTGGGATAATCTACTCGCTACAACTTCATATGACGTGATGCGCAGTTTAAGGGTTAACGGCTACATCTTCCTTTCTTCTGACATATGGAGTTTTAAGGTTAATTAAAATATATGGAAACTAATTATACAATTTATTGGCTGGTGTGCAGGGCTTCACACTCTCAGAGCTAGCCATCAAGTAACTATCAAAATGCATATAGTTTTCACTTCAGTTATATTTTTGACAAAAGGATTTTAAATGTAGCCTATATTTCTACCTTTCTGATGACAAATACTTTCGCTAATTACAATATCTAGATCAAACTACCATTGATTTTCAAAAGGTTGTATATTTTCATAGTATATTTTCATTGTATATTTTCAAAAGGTTGTATATGGGTATATCATCATATAAGGAACCCGACTGTACTGCCGGCACCCTAGACTAAGCCTACACTATTGTCCTCAGCCACAGCTATGATGATAATATCAAGAACTTACTTTAAACGCCTTTAGTTTAGTTCACTTGTAATGCACCCCATACACATCGTGTGTTGGGCAGTGGAAAGGGTTACAGAGGCACATATAATGGCCTCAGGAACTGAACCCCATAATTCATTTAGCTAAGCAAGTTACAATCTTGATGGGCTAGTTACAAAATTCAATGCACATCGTCACATCAACAATAGGCTCGAGACCGACCATAAGTCAGATTCAGATTCAGATTCAGATGTTTATTCAGGTAAGGTATATACATACAAGTGATGTTACATTAATGGATTGATATATAGATAGAGCTAGTACATACAATGCCTAAAGCCACTATTACGCAATGCGTTTCGGGCAAGAAAAACATTAATATCTAGAACTTAATACTAATTGAGCATAAAGAATAAAAAGTGTTGAGAACAAATACAAATAAAGATAAAAAAGGGGGAACATGACTGAAAAAGCAGCACAAATACAATAGGTTGACAAACAGTGTTGATTAAAAAAAAGAAAATAACAGACATGGGTTGACAATAGAGGAGTGAGGTAGATTACAGGGAATTTATTAGGTAGTGTTTAGTTTTTATCTTAAACTGGTTGAGAGAGGTACAGTCTTTAACATGGTTGGGAAGGTCATTCCACATTCTGGGCCCCTTGATTTGCAGAGCATTTCTAGTTTGATTAAGACGTACTCTAGGAATATCAAAACTGTATTTATTTCTGGTGTGGTGCTCATGGGTTCTGTTACAACCTTCTATGAAGCTTTTAAGATCAGGATTGGCATTACAGTTCAGCGTTTTATATATATGTATAATACACATGAGAGAATGTGCAGGGACTTAATGTCTAACATATTCAAAGATTTGAGTAGGGGTACCGAGTGCTGTCTGGGGCCAGAGTTGGATATTGTTCTAATAGCAGCTTTGTGTTGGGTAATTAGAGGACGTAAGTGATTTTGGGTAGTAGAACCCCAAGCACAAATACCATAGTTGAGATAAGGATAGATAAGGGAGTAATAGAGAGTCACCAGGGCAGGGCGTGGTACATAATATCTGATCTTAGAAAGAATGCCCACAGTTTTTGAAACTTTTTTTGATATATTTAGAATGTGTCCCTGGAAATTCAGCTTGTGGTCAATGAGAATGCCAAGGAATTTGCCATCTAATTTGTTACAAATTTGGGTATTGTTTATTTTGAGATTTATATGACTAGAGGATTTATTGCCAAACAGAATATAGAAAGTTTTGTCAATGTTAAGGGTGAGTTTGTTGGCAGTTAGCCAAAGATGGACTTTATTTAGCTCAGTATTTACTGTGGCATTTAGAGCAAGAGGGTCAGGACTGGAGTAAATGAAGGTTGTGTCGTCAGCAAATAGAATTGGTTTGAGGTGTTGGGAGGCATTTGGAAGGTCATTAATGTAGATGAGAAAGAGGAGAGGGCCAAGTATGCTGCCCTGAGGAACACCAATGTTGATGGGTAGGGTGGGAGAAATTGTATTATTCACAGAAACATATTGGAGCCTGTCAGTAAGGTAGGACTCGAGGTATTGTAGGGAGTGTCCTCTGACTCCATAATGATGTAATTTAAGAAGGTTATGGTGGTTGACAGTATCAAAAGCTTTACGCAGGTCCACAAATAACCCAACAGGGAACTCATTTTTATCAAGAGCTGTATGAATCGAGTTAAGCATACTAATAAGTGCATCGTTAGTGCTTTTTTTTGGGTCTGAAGCCATATTGGCAAGGGCTAAGTATATTGAGTTTGGCTAGATATGAGTAAAGCTGCTTATATATAAGTTTTTCAAAAATTTTTGACAAGTTTGGCAGGATTGATATAGGTCTGTAGTTGTTAACATCTGTGGGGTCACCACATTTGTGGACAGGCGTTACTCTCGCTTTTTTTAGAATATCTGGAAAGGTTTGGAGTTCAAGTGACTTGTTGAAGAGCAAAGCAATAGCAGGGGCTAAAGATCTGGAAGTAGTCTCTAATTTAAGCAACTGACATATGTGGAGAGCTAGTGTCACTTAGGATAACCATATTTAAACGCCTTTGACATGTATATTGTTACTTACAAGTACCAAATGTAGTCTTTCTTTATGATACGTGTAGTGCTTCTCGTTCTTTACAACACGAACAGCACTCTACGTTAGTGTTGTTGTGATGGAGGGGGGCGGGTTAGGGGCGACAACAGTGAGGAACAGTCTGCACTCCGACGTTCCCGCTAGTACCACTACATGTAAACACAACTATGAATGTGGTGACTGGGAGCTCCACCAATCACCGGCGACTCTGATGAGCCTGACCAATCACAAGCACAGATACACCTGAAGTCTTCAACGATTGTGAATATAAAATTTTTACCTCGGGGCCAACATCTTTGCAAAAATGTACGCATCAATTTTATGTAGCCTCACTAACCCATTGTACCTTCTTGTGAATAAATTATTATTATTATTATTATTATTATCTTCATCTATTATTAATATATTATTATTAAAATTATTATAATTATAATAATATATAGTATAATAATAATAATAGATGTGTAGCTCCTCTTGCATGATAGCGATGGAATGATGATAGATGGAATTACTGGTGTTGATTTCACTTTGCCTCAGATCTACAAGATTTTGTTGAAGTTCTCGGTGTACTGCTGCTCTCAGACTGCTGATTGACAATCCAAGGTTATACTTAATTTCTCTACCCTTCAGACTGAACTATTTGCCTTGCTTCTTGCACTGAAATGTGTAAAAGTCTCCAAACTTGATACATTAATTGTAAGTGACTCGTTATCATCCTTAATTGCTCTCAACTCTTTAAGACATAACTGTAACATGCTCGTGTCTGAAACTAGACACAAATACAACAAAATTATTAATGATGGTAACAGAGTCCATTTCATGTGGACTCCTCATGTTGGCCTTCAAATGCATGATAAGGCTGATAAGTTAGCCAAAGAATCTACCGTTAAAGGATTGGGTAGCACAAGATACAGAGCGAGTTTAAAGCCCTAGGTAGGAAACTATGAAGAGTTAAACCTTGTTTATTGGTAAAGATAAATGAGGTTACTTAGTGTGAATTATTTGGACTAGGAGGATCTCTTGGTTGGTCCAATAGTTTATTTTCCCTCCAAGGAAAGTGATATTTCGCTTGTTGTTGTTGTTGTTGTTTTACGTTATCTAACCTTCTAATTTGACAGGTGGGAATCTACTGGGAGAAGATTTGTATAATTTACAGTTTGCGCTTTAGGATAATATTGGGGAGAGTCCGCTTAGTCTCCAGCAAACAGATTCCTCTATTGGCGTCCAATCCACGAAGTGGACTAGTATTATAATAATACTTTAAAGCAATAATATTATAGATAATAAGGCCCAATTTAATGGGCCAAGAAAAAATTATTTAAGACTCATTGAGTTGTTCCCCTCCACGGAAATCTTTAGTAAAAGGCGAAAGATTTATGCGTTTTGAAGGGAAACCAGAGTTATCGACTTGAGAAACTTGGAGATGCTGCCGACAGAGCGCTGAGGCAAAAGAGGTAAAGTTATTTTGGAACTAGAAAGGCATCAACCGGTAATTTTGCAATAAGCAGTAATTTGTTTTAGCTTTTGCTATATTGCTCTATTGCATTATTATTACTCATTTCATTTTGTATCTTTCCTATTACGATGTATTTATAAGTGGGCAATGTTTACATAACATATCTTGTGTTATCTGTTTGACACTTGCTGGACTATGGTGATGAGTCTTGATTTTCTGTGTATGGAAGAAAACGCGTGCATGGAGTAGGGGGACTTATATATTTATTTATTTAGTACTTTTAATAATAATAATTATAAATAATAATTATAATAATACTAACAATTATAATAATAGTAATAATATAATTTATTAAATCTATAATTTTCAGCAGTCCCAGTGGCATAGTGGTTCCCGTTCGCTCGCACAAGATAGCACATATATGACTTAATGCTTATAGTCAATATTTTGCTTATGAATTAGTACATATGTGGTATATTCCTAGTTATATTTTTTCAAGGGCCAAACTCTTCCTCACGTACCAATTTACGTCTCACGGTACCCGTCCATCGCTGTAGACAGCAGAATAGTCGTGATTGGTTCAAATTATAATGAAAATTGTAGTTTTCAGGTCCCACAGGGGATGTGAAATTTACCTACTGTTGTCCATGCTCTTAGAATATTACAGATCAGCTACATCCTATTGAAGGCTTATAGTTTTGTTTTGAGAAATAGTAGTTGTTCTTAGTAAATTATAATAAGCACTATAAATTATTACATAGAGTAATAGTGCTTCACCAAATCAACATTTTACACACTAGTTTGGGTGGTAGTGGACCCCATACCCATCCTGTGGGTGGTAGTGGACCCTATACCCCATCCTAGCTGTGGGTGGTAGTGGACCCGATACCCATCTTGTTAGTGATAGTGGACCCGATACCCATCCTGTGTGTGGTAGTGGACCTCATACCCATCCTGTGGGTGGTAGTGGACCCTATACCCATCCTGTGGGTGGTAGTGGACCTCATACCCATCTTGTTAGTGGTAGTAGACCCTATACCCATCCTGTGTGTGGTAGTGGCCCCCATACCCATCTTCAACCCGCTCTCTCTAGAGCGGGTTGCCTTTACCAACATCGGCAAGGAATGCAGCGGTGCCAGTGTTTCATGCAGATCTCTTGGTGTTATGGATAAAGAGCGAGAGGCACCCCTACCTTGCTTGCTGCTATGTTTGGGCATATTTTCAGCGATAGATTTTTGGTAATGTTTCCAGAGGTAGATACTTAGAGAATGGTAGTGGGGTTAGGCGTATAGTGAACGTTTGGCAGCAGGGTCGTCGATGATAATAATAATAATAATAATAATAATAATAATAATAATAATAATAATAATAATAATAATTTATTTAGGAAAAGTACATACATAGTTGCAGAGTTACAGTACAAACATTCTGTTTGATTTCAAGATAGAGGTAGTACATACAATACCTAAAGCCACTAGTACGCATAGCATTTCGGGCAAGGTGAGGTGGGGATAGGCAGGCACAATGAAAATTGGTTAATTGTGGTTGATTACTGTTGAGATTCGCTGTGAGTTATGGCATATTAAGTCTCCATGCACTTATAACTCTTGCTGGGCAGTAGTTAGGCCTATAGTGTTGCGTAGAGACTAAATTAACTTTTTAACCACTGTGCCACTGGGACTGCTGAAAATTATAGATTATGCCCTTTGTGCTTCCGCAATGCAACCCTTGCAGTCCACATTGGTCTGCTTCCACCCTGTTGCAAATACACTTGAATTCAGTGTGTATTTAATAAATTATATTATTACTATTATTAGAATTATTATTTATAATTATTATTATTAAAAGTATTAAATAAATAAATAAATAAGTCCCCCTACTCTATGCACGCGTTTTCTTCCATACACAGAAAATCAAGACTCATCACCATAGTCCAGCAAGTGTCAAACAGATAACACAAGATATGTTATGTAAACATTGCCCACTTATAAATACATCCTAATAGAAAAGATACAAAATGAAATGAGTAATAACAATGCAATAGAGCAATATAGCAAAAGCTAAAACAAATTACTGCTTATTGCAAAATTACCGGTTGATGCCTTTCTAGTTCCAAAATAACTTTACCTCTTTTGCCTCAGCGCTCTGTCGGCAGCATCTCCAAGTTTCTCAAGTCGATAACTCTGGTTTCCCTTCAAAACGCATAAATCTTTCGCCTTTTACTAAAGATTTCCGTGGAGGGGAACAACTCAATGAGTCTTAAATAATTTTTTCTTGGCCCATTAAATTGGGCCTTATTATCTATAATATTATTGCTTTTAAAGTATCATTCTGCGGTTGGAAGAAAACGCTCACTGAGTGGGGGACTTGTTTATTTTATAATAATAATAATTAATTATTTAAACAAATAATTAATTAATAATACTCATAATTAATGATTTAATAATTGATAATCCTTAAATGAAGCCTAGTAGCTCATTATAACGAATAAATAGATGATTAAAGTGGAATTAATTATGGTGACTAATAATGATTAGTGAATAACCATAAATTATTATACAGAAATAAAATTATTGGATAGCCGTTATAATGATTAAATCAAATACAATGAAGAGAGATCTCGTATTCTTGGCTTATCACTTTGGGGGTTCCGTCGGAGCACCCCCAATCCCGTGAGGGCCAGCGACGCGGAACCCCCACCCCTGAAGGGCGAGCGGAAGCTGGCTGCTGTAGGTAGGAACATGACATCTCGCTACCGTGGCCGTAAGCGTGCCCGTACGCCCGGAGAGGCCATTAAAAAACAATCAGGTTTTTCTGACTGAAAAAGGTACCAATCCGGGTCTACTAGACAGATGCTGCTAAGAGACGCAGCTCGCTTGGTGGGCCGACGGAGCTCCAACTTAACGAGCCGTGGAGCAGAGAGGCAGGTTGGCCCACCAACTGTGCCCTGGGAGGAAGACCTACTGCCGGGTTTGTACTCCAAGCACGGAGCGCTTTCCACCATGGCGATTTTGACACACATTCATCCCCAGGAAGCAGCCCGTAGCAGCTGTCCAACTCCCAGGTACCTATTTACTGCCAGGTGAACAGAGGCATCAGGGTGAAAGAAACTCTGCCCATTAGTTTCCGCCTCCATCGGGAATCGAACCCGGACTCTTAGATCTACGAACCACTCAGCCGTCAGGGCCCTTCATGTTTCAATATAAAGAGTTCCTGCTACTTTGTTGCTCTGTTCTATCCAATTGTTTAGGCACTATACCTGGTTGATACCTGGTTGATGGGGTTCTGGGAGTTGTTCTACTCCCCAAGCCCGGCCCGAGGCCAGGCTTGACTTGTGAGAGTTTGGTCCACCAGGCTGTTGCTTGGAGCGGCCCGCAGGCCCACATATACCTGGTTGATGGGGTTCTGGGAGTTGTTCTACTCCCCAAGCCCGGCCCGAGGCCAGGCTTGACTTGTGAGAGTTTGGTCCACCAGGCTGTTGCTTGGAGCGGCCCGCAGGCCCACATATACCTGGTTGATGGGGTTCTGGGAGTTCTTCTACTTCCCAAGCCCTGCCCGAGGCCAGGCTTGACTTGTGAGAGTTTGGTCCACCAGGCTGTTGCTTGGAGCGGCCCGCAGGCCCACATATACCTGGTTGATGGGGTTCTGGGAGTTCTTCTACTTCCCAAGCCCGGCCCGAGGCCAGGCTTGACTTGTGAGAGTTTGGTCCACCAGGCTGTTGCTTGGAGC